AATACTCCATACCAAATACACAGAACATATCAGGGACTTATCAGTGCACGTACACGTAAGACTGGCATTAAATATAGACTTAATAGGTTGGAATTATATCAGGTTTGATATTTCAATATATCACACAGGAAAAAATGAACCACATGATGGCACTGAGCATAAATTGATGGTTGGTCTTTAAAGTGTTCAAGAACTTTGGCAAAACTTTTCATATAGAGATCAATTTCACAGTTAATGGTTAGCAAACAGAAGTGTTAAATGTATGCGTGGCTGGAAAAAGACAATTTGTACGGATAACATATCACTTGACACCAGGGCAGATGGGTAATTCTTATATTTGAAAAATACAGAGACGGATAGAAACACATTTGTTGGCAACTCTTCACAGGAAAAACCAGGCTTGAGACAGAAAGTTCTGAAGAGCGCCGAACCAGGAATATTGCTTGAAGAAATCTCCTAGTGTCTCCTGTGGTACCGGTATCCTGCTTATTTCAGAAAAATGAATATAAGGTTTGGGTCTATCGTACACTGCCTGCATTTCTTTAACAAGGAAATTCATGATGACAGCTATTCAAAATTTCAACCAACAACCGATTTGTTCTCCCCCCCCCAAAAAAAACTCACCGTCTTGTTGGAATCCATGTTATCACTGTCTGAACCCTCCATTCTGACTGGTTACCAAGATGCGACCCGAGGCACCACACAAATGAACGCCGTTAGTGTAAATGCTATTGTCAACCTGAGGAAAATCACTACCACACATGCACTTTACTATGGTACAGTACATGTACAATGTACAGTGTACATATAGGCACTGTGAGCCGAGTCAGTCTATCGTAGGGTAGCTAAGCCAAGTCAGTCTGTGTGCGATGCCTCACATGTCTGCAATTTTTAAATGTGGATGGCAGTGGAGATGGGGAGGGGGAGCAAGGCAAGTTGGATTATATTTGGAGCTGTCCATTATATGGTGGGGGGAGTCCGGGCGACAGAAGGGGCCGATTACGCTGTAGTTTGTGGGTTGTGAATTATGGCAAAGTTTGTCACCATAAATCAAACTGTTCTCTCGCTACATTATCCATTTCTGGACTCTGAAGGGAATTTTTCTGTGGGTGTTTTAAGTGAAATGCATGGATCACTTATATTATTCTGGATTACTTCCAATATTCCACTATCTAGTACCCGCCCACACAAGTATTACTTGTTAATGCAGGAGCATTGTATCTCAAAGGACCTGACTTGAATTTAACATGTTTTGTGCCAACCATGGCATCTACTCCTCTTAAAGAAACCAGGAAATGAATTTTTCTTAGAATCACTTTTTGTGTATCTCTGTACTATTCTTCCAAGTATGAAGACTGCTTGACATCTTTTTTGAGTTGCGTGAACAGAACGGTGCACTTTTCCAAATATTAAAAACTGACAAGTGAGGGTGCTTCTGCTTTGATGTAAATTCAGGAAGACATCGTTCAGGTTGTATGTTTTCATGTTCAAAATACGAACCCCAAATTTGCTCTCTGGGACAATTCTGTGAAAAGGATTTTTGCTGGATTATTGCCATATACTTACACGTCAATAAATTGCCAAAGAAAATAAAATCTGCCATAGCAGTGGTAAAAAAACCTAGAAATTTTTTGTGCACAAATCAGTGCAACATTGAGATTCAGTGCCTTGGATGACATCATAGTTTTGCTCATGAATATGCAAATATCATTAGCATAAAAACCAAAAAAAGCATCAAAATATGGGTTAAAAGTGCAAAACAAAAATTTAATATCAGGTTAATTGAAACCCAAAGATGCAATTTCAAGGCTTTTTAGTAAATTTATAAAAAAAAATTCTATTTCCTTGTTCCTTTAAATGCATGAATACTATTGGATGTAATTTGATATCACTTTTGAGTTATCTGATTTTGAACATTTTAAACATTTCCTTGCTTTCACTGGTAAAAGAGGGCACTGTCACTGTGACGTCATTTTAAGAGGAGACTGTTGATTACAGGGTTTTCTGCTCATTGTTAGGGAATCACAGCCACAATCCTCAGATCGTTACCTGTCCGCAGATTAATCCCGTGTCTGGGATGGCATAACAAGCCGCTACTAGGGTGTTAATGCAGGTCGTAAATTGTCATGGCTCGCCAGCATGCATGCTCACCCAATGTTTAAGACCGCATGTGGTGTGCGTGAGAGTTTGGTCATCTCAGATTAGTCCATAATTCCACGGTGCGACCATGAAACTTAGGTTCAGAAGCTGTACGCTGTTCCCAATGGGGTAAACAGCCAAGTGTTGTAATGAGGCATCTGCTCTTTTTTTGAGGTGTATGTATCTTGCATTGCACTATAGGCCTTATCCACATTGAGGCTATTTTCGATTGTGTTCCCCAATCTCATTCAATCTGATTAGTTAGTCCCAAATTTAACTGATTGATCATCACAAATGACATTTATTTGAAAATAACTTCATTTTTATTATGAAACCCCCCTCCAAAAACAATCCCCAAAATGTCACTTTCAAATCAATATGGCAGACTTGTGAACAAGTCCAAACTTCTTCAATAAATCTTTCTTAGACTGTGGGTCAAGGAAAAGCAAGGCATCCACTGACTGCCATGTCCTCATTCACTGAAGTGTGCCAGTGTTCACCTTCAATAATTGTCAAAGGTTCCCACAAACTTGGACGGAAATCATCAAATTGTTAAGTTGAACCTGTTTCTGGCAATCACCTTGGTATGCATATCTGATCAGTTTTTGCTTTGGACGTACTTCTTTCCATGTAAATACAGGTATGTATTGAATAAACTCATAGAAATGTTAAAGATCTCCAAATTTAAAAATGTACTTCAAGTCAATGACCATTATCTTTTTACCACTGTCATACATGCATTTCGGCACGTCATTTGTTGGGCTAAAAAAAGCAGCCTCTGCTGTGAAGGTTGTCATGGCAATGGCACTCATCATCCCAAGTCCCGCGCGCTGTTGCTCCTCGTTAAAAAGTCAACAGGTGCTAGTAGATTTGCCTGATTTGGAGTGCCAATATTAAACTAACATGCAGCTTCATCCTAGGGTAAGTCCTCCAGGTAAGTTAATTAGGCCTGCCGTAATGAGAACAAAGTTTCACTGTGACGCAAATCGGTTGTTGGCTGGCTTGAAAATTGCAAGTGTGTGACAAAAACAGGTTGTTTTGAGAAAAAAAACCAACCTCATTACTTTTTGACCGAGTAAAACCGGCTGTCCTCTAAAAAGAGTACGTTCATCTCTCAGGGGTGTATTTGAGATCATGTGAACTTCCACAAAATTTATGATCCAGAAGAACAATAAAAACCTCACAGTGAAAAGAAAACACCAACCAACACACTGATGAGGTCAACAACCTTAAAGGCATGAAGAGGATATTTCTTTTTTTATCCCTCTGTGGTTGGCCCAAGTAAGAGAAATTTTTTACGCTGGCGAATTCTAAAACTATATCTCTGTGTCCCACTTAACTTCATTCTCAGCATTTCTAAGTGTGTATTAGGGTGCTTTTGGATTTTACCAGGTACGGTATAGTTGGCAGTTGTCAGAGCTATGGTAGGTCTGAAAATGTTGTACACAATGGAAGACCTTGATATACTGGTGACAGTAGGCATACCGGTCCTTTTTCGCAGTCTTGCGCGTGCTCAAAAGTACTAATGCAGGCATGCTCACATGTGTGCATGCCAAGAACTAGTAGAAAGGACCTGTCATCTCAAAAAGTCATCCCAAAAAGTACTCAGGAGTCATTTTATTAGTTACTGTACTGGTACATGCGCACTCACATCTGACAAACTGCCTTCATGGAAACGTGCAGAGCGCAACACCACAAAAAAAAAAATGATGTGGGTGTGTGTGCATTGCACAAAGAGGTCAGGGAACCATTCTTCTCATGAGACATTTTCAATGTGCACTTGTAGAAGTTTACAGCATGGTGCTCTTCCCACTTGATTAGTCAGGGACCCTGTAAAACTGCGGCATCTACATGTATACAGAAATCTTCAGCAACTCCCTTTGGCCTGTTGTCAATAAGTTTCTGCCAGCGATATGTCGAACTACATGTGACAGGGAAGCCAATTCTCTGGGTGTGCCGATCGGTCTCACTTTTGCAATTCTTCTGCTCAGCCACGATATGTGAAGATTTGCCAAAAAGCAGTCCAACTTAAACCATGGTTTTAAAACACTAGTCCTCAATCTAAGGGCATTTGTGTTGGAAATTCACAAGAGTTGAGCACCATTCAACTGAGCAAATTTTGCTGCAACTGCTCAAGTTTTGATTTCAAATTTGCCTCTCTTTTGCATTCACCTGAAGTACATGTACCAACCGACGTTACAGCTAAAATCCAAGCATACACATGCATGTACACGTACATGTCGCAAGCCTCAACAGCTTTGGCAGGATTTGAAACCCCTATTCTTGAGGACTACAAACCAAGGAATCAAAACAAATTGAAGAACCAATGGATGAGCTCATCCTCAAATATGCAACCTCTAGGTACTGTACGCATAAAAAAACCTCATACCCCGTGTACCAGGAACATGTACATGTACCGGTACATACATGTATAGGATTTGAACCTCTGTTCTTGAAACCTACATGTATGACAACGAGAACCTATGACATGTATGAGGAGCCACTGAACTTGTCAGTCATAGAGACTCAATAGTTGGAAGACAAGGCATCTTGGTACATACATGTACACGTACATGTACTGTACATGTACACGTACACGTACTGTACATCCACACACAGGAAGTTAATAGCTTTGTTGTCGAGCCCATGCCGAATTTGAACCCCAGCTCACAAAGACGTCATGAGAAATGAAATAATAATCTAAACTGTATTTTATAAAAACAACCCTGCCAACCCAAACCACAACGTCATAAACAAAATTCCTTGCTGATGTGTGGGGCTCCAACCAATTATCGTGGCCTCCGAGCCCTGTGAAAACAAAATGAAACGGTAGAAAAATATACAAGCCTTCATGTACTCACCTCATAGAAGTCCCTGTTTGCCACCGACTTGAAGGCACTGATCCATTCCTCCATGTCCTTACGGGTATCGGTGCAGAGAATTAAGGTGCGGAATGGCGTAATGACCTATGATGAAAAAGGGAGCAGTTCACGTACCGGTGCATGTATTAAGCGGTGTGACGCTTATAAATGGCCACAGAAAACCGTTTTAACAAACTTGATGTCTGTTTTCTGAGTGTAAAACGGCGGCACACTGACGCTTATCTGTAAAACTAAATTTGTGAGAATCGGCAATAGTCAGATATGAAATTCGCCATTTGTCCAGGTTCACTTGTTGTCAATGCCCTTAAAAGATGCTGGGCGGATGGGCAAAATAAGCTTCACAAATACTACAAAGCACAGGCATTGATCATCATTTTGGCTATTACTTTCATGTACACGAGTTACCTTTTTAAGAAATTCATGTACATACATGTACATTTGTACTCATAAATTTTGAGCTGGCTTGTCATACTGCAAGTGGAATAAATCATACACTGAAGTACATGTATATAATTAATAAATAATTTATTCATTTATATAGAGCAAATTTCATAAAAAATGTGTTCAAATGCACTGCACATTAAAACTAAGTATAAATTCATTAAGAAAATACATGCAACAGCGATTTAAAACACTAGGTAGGCCTACACCAAATCCAAATGATAAAATTGAACATATTGAATTTGACAGCAAACAATAACATCTGTAATAACAGGTACCAAGAAGACGAGGACACAAGAATGACATCAACCCCAACCTACCACCCAATTTCCAATACCTAACACCCCATGCCCAGCTCTAATCATGAAGATGGTGTCCAAAAGCCACTTTAAACAAATGAGTCTTCAATAAAGATTTGAAGACACCCACACTCTTTGCTCTACGAATATTAACTGAGAACATTCCAAAGTTTAGGATGTACTGTATCAAACAGGGATTTGAAGAGATTACATCACGCAGCTCCAAGAAATAGAGCATCCCACAATCCTGTGACGGTGGAGGTCCTGAGTCCTCCTGAACTGTCCAAATTGGACAGATTTTAGACCAAGTGGCAAACTCTTTGCAAGTCTGAAGGAGGGTGGGAGGAGGCGAGTGATTACCCACAAATCCCACCAATTATGGCCACGCGCACAGGGACTCAAAATGGTAAGAGGATTTGGGCAAATTCCGGCAAAGCAAATGTGTGGAGGTAAGGCAAATGTCAAACTATCAAAGGGGTATACACGTAAGCTGGGAACTAGTGACATTTCAAACAGGGAATAAAAATTACAACGAAGTGCAGGGTGTTGAACCAAACCAATACTCGTACATGTGTATCTAGCTGCCACAGCTATTCTCAAATACATGTACATGTACTAAAACTACAAATAATGAACTTTCAATGAAAAGGTCATGGAAGGTTTGTTATTGAGTTTACATTTTTTGTTTTCCGTATTTCATTTGTATATACAGATTTATCCTACACTTTCTTCAATCTTAACCTTCCCAAACCCATCAAAATGCACCCAGAATAAATGGCAGATTTCAAAGAATTACAGGCTACCGGTACGCTGTCACACGGAGACGGTCAGAGGATTTTGCAGGATTCGGGTAACATTTTAGAAAAAAGTCAAGGGAATTGGGGTTAATTCATGGACCAAAGTAATAAAAATGCAAGTTTTCAATAAAAGTAAACCCTAACAGCCTACAAGTACATGTAGGGTGTGTATAAACTTACAATATATACTACAATTGGGCAATTACGGAACATACAAGCAGTTTTCAAGTACCATCTGCATATTACTAAGTTCAGAACGCATACACAACATCTCGGGTCAAAACGATCCTGAACAATAAGAAAACAACTATGATATTTGCACACCCATCTAGGCAGGTCATTTCCCATAGATTTTTGGGGGGGAGGGTGTGCCGCAATGAATCTACGATTTGATTTTGTAATTTGCAATTCAAAGCACCGTACCATTTTGAAGAAATCAAAGGAAACAGTTTCCCTTTCATTGGAGTGTGACCTCATTTATTCAGTACCCTTGCATAAATCATGTCCACGGAGAGTTTCCATCATTATTTAATATTTTTTGAAGAGTCTACAGGACCTCTATCCCCTCCTCTGAAGAACGCTCATGAAAATGATCAGAGTTCATGCAGATGAACCCTTAATTGCTAACAATTTATTTATGCACAGTCTAACCTAAGATTGCTTTCATTATAAGGCTTACAAGAAAGTGAGGGCTGCTTATTACGCAGATTGGCTGAAATCCAAGGAGACCAGAACTGGCAAGGGGCACTCACCCTGAAACTGTTGTTGACGTTCTTGGTGCTGTTCTCTGCCACGCTGATCTCTCGCAGGTCCACTTCCTCGAAAATGTGAGACTGGCAAGTAATTGGGAAAAAGCGTATGAAAGTTAGAAATAAGTGCTGAGAACTGTAACAAATATGAAACCCAAACACTGACGTCAGTGAGCGTTGAAATTTATTAAATCCATTTAAGTTGGTTTACATTCTGCCTTCAGTTTTGAAAGTGGAAAAAACCAACACAGAAAAAAATTGAAGTGCTAAGATGCTTCACTTTGAATAATTCATACCCACTGTGCACCTATCTGCTGGTACAGTGTGTGTCAGATTTTGGGCGACTTGAAAATTTAAACTTCTCTGAATTTTGAAGCTGAACTTGTTACTTTGCAAAATTTGCCGGAGTGAAACTGTTACCAAGTTCTGCGAACTCACTATTCGCTTTCCTGGCATGAATGCCATCCGTTTCCTTCCAGCAAAATGGCACATACACTGTATACATGCAAGCACACCACCTTGGGTTGAAGTGCAATCTCATCAGCAAAGGCGAGACAGGCTTGTGGGAAGGTGTTCAACCAGGCCAGTGCACGTGCACAGTGCACAAGTGAAGACTATACTTCCCAACACACAAGTACATTGGTCATGTGTGCTTATAGTGCCCCGTGCCAAACTCACTTTAACGATCCTGTGCATGCACACGTTAAAATCCCACCAAAGGGCAGTCGTTTCCATGTGAAAAAAGACGCCCTCTCTGGTTCACGCTGAGGGACAGCATCAGCATTCTGTGCTTTTTTTTAATGAACCAGAATGTACATACTGTGTTTGAACACGTGTTTGCCGCAAATGTTCCAAACCTTTCTAAAAGATGTACACACTGCGCTTGAGGGCAGATCCAGAACTACATGTTTGGGGGCCAGACTTGTGGAAGGGGGAGAGCCAAAGAAACCTTTCATGGCCTTTTGAGAAGAGAGGTTATAATTTTAGGGCCTTTTTAAGGTTTTTGAAAAGAAAGGAAATGAAATAGCCAAAACAGCCTTTCTCTTATTATTTGGGGAAAAATGGGGCTGCTATGGTGGGGGCATTGACCTCCATTTGTGCCCCCCCCCTCCGCACTTGGCCACACTGTATACAATTTTCCAGGCTTTATTTCTGTTCTCTAATGTTGCATGAACGGTTCTATACAAAATCCTGAAGCAGAGGGGTCATACAACTTCAGCACTGAATGAAAGTATGACTGCATTGTTGCCATCGTCGACCTTTCCCTGTGTTAACATAGTCATTTCCATCGGGGCTCACAAGGCCTGCCTGACGTGGTTGCAGTGTTTCTTTATCAAATTAAGCCAGAAGTTTATGACGCATTTTCGCTGTGGAGACACGTCACGAGGGAGTGGATCTTGTTCCCCCTGGGTAATTTGTTTCACATCTCGCCAATGCTGATTTCCTTCAGAATTACAAATTATGGATTACAGACGGACGCTGACGGCCACGATTTCAACTCCTTCAGGAGTTACAGGAGAAGGGAAATGTTCTTCGTGATGGTGCATGTACAATGTAAAATACCTTGTGCATATACTTGAATACTCTGTTACATCTCCTCAGAAAAAGGTGGATACCTATGATACTGAACCAGTACACTGACACGTATCACAGACTTGGGCTGTTAAGTCCTCATCCCTGTAAGTCCACCACAAGTCATCCTGTCTCAAACCTAGCCACAAGTTTCAAACTAATGTAACTGGGACAAAACACCCTTTTTTTTTCATCCTGTTGCTGGCGACTATAGACTTTGGAAGGAAAAGACTTTCTGGTACACTCAATTCCAGCCCTGCAGCCCATTTCACAGACCAGCAAAAACCACTCAACTTTGCTGACCACAGAAACTATCTGCTTATAAAAAGCAGGGTACATGTACCAGCCCAAATACCAGACACTGCTTTTCATTTTGAACAGCACACCAATCTACCAAGCAGAATTTTTTGATTGGCAGCTCTTTGAAATTTGACCCTACCACTAAATACACCGTACATGTACGTAAAACCAGCAGAATTGAAGGGCAGATTTGGACACAAACTGCATTTATAAAGTATACTATTTATTACCAGTCAACTGATTTTTAAAAGAATGCACAGGCAAAAATACAGTCAAGCTATTTTATAACATCTCACCGTCACTCATATTTTGCCGTTACCTGCAACTTTTCCAGCGCTCATGTTCAATGGTATCTCCTACAATTATTTTATATGCCAATGGTTCTCTCCGTACTTACAAATAAAATTGGCTATTGATAACCAGCTTTGTCACCATATGCCTCATTCCCAATAGTCGACTAGATGGATCAAACCATCCATAGTTTGGGCGGTCTTAGAGCAACTATTCTAGACTACAGTTGTAACTCACCCAAAGATGAGACGAATATTGGTTAGTCAGGTTGGCAAGGTAGTTCTTTCCTCGCCTTCCACCTCTGTGGTCCCGGGTTCGAATCCCGGCCCGGTCCACATGTGGATTGGGTTTTCAGTCCCTATCTGACTCTGTGGGTTTTACCCAGAGTATTTCTCTGGGGTTTTCCTCCCACCTCTAAAACTGTAACTGCTTCTTACTGTCTCCCCATTACTGATGTTGGTGAATGTGGATCGTTTGGCGGCTGCCTGAGGTGCCCTTGTATGCCATCGGCTCAACCATGTTTAAATGTATTCATTGTTCCACGCTTAATGTCTTCATTTTACAGTGCATTCGAACATTTCCATATGAAATTTGTGCTTTATAAATGAATAAATTATTATTAATTATAAAGATACTTGTACTTTTCACAAGCACATCGTGCAGTGCATTCGGGCCATAGAAACATGTACATAAAAACCTCGATTAGATCAGATGTATGTCGTCACAAATGTGATGCCCACTTCTACCCTGCGCAGAACTGCATCGAGCACAGGCACATACATTCAGATGTAAGACGTCCATTCAGATGTCAATGTATACGTAGCATCCAGTTTATTGTGTCTATTGTATTGTATATATATATATATATATATATATATATATTGTATTGTATATAATTCCAAGAGACTACCGAAAGCCTGCAATGAGGACCTTGCTTGAACACAAACGGTCTCGGTTTTTATCTAGATGTCGACACAGTAATGGACTGACGGGTTTGCACCAAAGCAGCAAGCACCATCTCTCATCAGTTTGATCCCATCAAATGTCAGGAGCTTCACGCTCAATTTGCCCCACTCTGTATTCTCAAACGGTGACAACTGACAAGCAGATTCAAACAAAGATGTTAGGAGAAGGATCAAAACTGCATTCCAAGAAAAGTGGGACAAATTTGAAGGGAAACTCTTTAGGATAATTCACTTCATGGGGAGTATTTCATGGTAAAACATGTACAAGTAGATTGCTTCATTTACTGAAGAAGTAGAGCACAGGTGCAGGCCAAAACTGAATGACAAAGGAAGGTGTCTTTAGTTTGTGTTTTACATATTTCTGCTCTTTTTTCTTTTTTCAGTTCGCCTGTTTTTCTGTGGGCAAGAGAAGGGTAAATGAAGATTTTGAAGAACAGAAGTGGCAAAAAAATCTTCCATGCATACTTTTAAAAAATAACTTATTTACCAGTAAGACTGGGGGGGGGGGAAATCAAGCATAAGCAGCAGACTGAAAAACCTTTTACAGTGGAAGGGGATCGTTTGTGAGGTATTTTTAAACAAACGGCTGATTTCCTCCTTTTCTTTCATTTCTTCAACTTCTTCTTTTCCTTTCTATACAGCCCTCTATCATTTCCTTGATTTTGAAACTCATGTACATATATTCATGGAAGTGCTCTGAATGGTTTGAAAATAAACTATACCTTCACCTACTGTATTCCTTTGTTTCAATTATTTTGTCAAGGGGGAGGGGGGGTAAGCAGCCCTCAACTTCCCCCTCCCCTGATGACCACGTCCCACTTCACATTGTAAACAAGCCTATGCCCCTCCCCCAACTATACTGCCACCTGTCCACCCCTCTAATTAAACAGTCTACATAACAAACGTGATGTAACACCGATCTTGATCACTGGTGATTTTCGGTGAACTTTTGCAATATTAACCACTTAATTTGTTGGGATTAATGAGCCATAACGGGATCATCGCACACGGTTGCACATGTAACTTTAATGATGCTGTCTTTAAATCACTGACATTTTGGTAATATGAATTTTTTAAAATTCATATGTGACCAAGTCTTAACGGATTTTGTTTCCTTGGCAAAAAAAAAAAATTCAAAAAACCCTGGGAGAGTGATTGATCTGAAATGAAGTCTGCCAAAGCAGCGGTATTTCCATTCAATCAGTGAGCCCGACTGGAGAACTGACGAGATTTTGACAAGAAATTTACATTTAAATTGAAAGATTAAAGGCCCAGAAATAGGGTATCATTTTCATATCTTGGAATCTTGGAATTGAGCTCCTGTATCCAATTTAAAAGCGGGAACCTTGCCCCTCAACCATGGTATTCCTACTGCAACAAATATATGTACAAATACATGCAAGTTTGGGCAGCAGGTATCCGTCCCGAGCAGAACCAAGAGAGGGAGCAGTTTTCCTAGCGACACAGGCTCCCATGGTGGGAACTGCACTTAGCTGGTTCACAACCGACTGTGAGATGCCTGCGCTGCGGTCACATTGCTACCAATACAGACACTAGCCACCAACATGGATATTTTCAACCAATGAGGGGGTGCTTCTGCTCGAGGTGAATACACGTATGAAGTGTGCACACTTGATACTTACTGTGCTTTCTTTGGCATAATACAAGTTTCGTCCCTTCAGTTTGAAGTACCTCCTCCTCCATCTCTGCAAAGACAAGAGAAGAAAAGTGAGGACCTACCTCTGAGACCCTAACATATCCAAAATGTTCAAGAGAGGGCTCACTCTGGGAGTTTTCAGCATCAGGTGGCTAAATACCTTTTGTAAAAAAATCAAAGTGGTCACAACAAATACGAGTATGCTTACAATGCCAAAATCAATTCCACACCATGCATTTTTCCTCTAAATAAATTCATTTTGTATTCTGTGACCTCCTTTGCCGATCAGAACGATGTAATGGGTGAACTAGTCCACCAAATTTTCAATTTCTGTCAGTTTTTTCACAATATTTATCTTTTAAATGTGAGATGGTAATATCTGCCCAAAGAAGGCGGAGGTGGTCACTAAAGTGTTAGATGTGGGTGTCTTGCATTGGAAAAGGTATAGAAATGCTGGTTCATTATTCTGCTTTTAAACAGTACTAATAATTTTCATGGAGAAACTTCAGAAAACATTCTAAATGAATGGCGGCAATTTAAAATACAGAATACCACCTAGAAACCACCACAAAGAGGCCACTACACACAGTGCATTATGGGTGAACAGTTGATGTCTGCCATCACTAACAAGGGTTTCCCTTCCATGAGGACTCGACAGGTTCACTGTCTGTCGGACGTATGAGATTTACATGTACATGTAAATTGGAACTAGCTCTGTGTGAATGATGACGGCTGCACAGGTACGAGGCTCCAAAGTGAATTGCATTTTACAACACCACAGATTAGGTAATTACACAACAGGAAAACTTGAGCAAGATGTCAATAATTTTATGAAGTTGAAAATTGGCCTCTCCAGGGCAACTGGTTGGTGTTGCTGGCCAACATGTACATACTGCACGTACGTTATTCCCTTCTGACAGGAATTGTACATCATGCAGGTATGTACATTGCAAGAGGTCATACCTAGGAAATGACCTCCATAAGACTAACACTCACAGCAGTCCTCAGTAAAAAGGAACAAGTCAATACTAATTTAAAGTGCTACAAAATATGACCAGTCCTTGGACATATGACAAGTCCTCAGACACAGCCCATAGAACAAGTCCTCAGACATGGGGCAAATCCTTCGAACATCTCTCCTCCGACACCATTCCTGGCTGACAAATGCACTGAACTCGGAATACATGTAGCTATGTGAAACTTCAAAGTGGTGCCTCAGAACAGTGCCCTCTGTTCCATGGGGACCTTTTCATATTAAGAAGCTTCAAGCCAAATGCAGCCAAAGTGAATGCACAAAAGTGTGACAAAAGCCATCTGACAGAATTGTTCCATTAGCTACAACAGACCTGATTGGCCATTACACACCCACATGACCTTCTGGCTCCAATGTTATCCCACCTAGAAGGCCCACATTGCTCCCTGCATGCATTTCATCATCACCGTGATTATTAAGTCTCACTTTTAATATTCATACCAAGTAAGTGATGGTTATTTTGCACCTACGACATCAAAATTCATGTCTTTTTCAAACAAAAACACAATCATTAAAAATTGAAAGAAAAGACTTGACTATTGTAGTCCGATAACTCCCCAACATGCAGTCAAAATTATTTTGTGGGTAATGGAAGCCAAACTTTAATAGCTAAATAATCCAAATTCAGTGTGCATCTTTCAGGTTGCAAGTGACAAATTGATTGACAACAATACTCTGTGCCAGATTCTAGCCCAATGATGTGAGTGTGCAGTCCACACAGAGCCCTCTGTTGAGCAAAGCAAATCTATCCAAAGGCACCCTCACAATGGTGGGCAGAAAATGGTTTGCTGCCCTCTGTTGATTCAACTAATGCATGTAAAGGTTGCAGGCTCGTGGCTTTCGCTGTAGCAAGATGACTTGATTGAAAACAATATTCCAATTTCTACATACTATTATGGATCTGTAAACAGTACTAAAAGACAGTTGAACATTCTGCTACATTACATTGGATAAAAGCATGTGCTGAAATCCCTTTATTTCCAGTTGCAACAGTATGAAAGGACTGAGCAATTTCTTGCTGCCTGTGAAGCCAGTCTTTACAGGTACGTGTACCTCCCAAGCTAATGCAGAGCCCCAAAAATACAGTACTCCAGGGTGGAGAGGAGGCAGTTGAAGCATGGTTGGAGGTAAAGTGGCTTGCCCAAGGACACAACACATGGCCTACAGCTAGACTCTGACCCCTGACCCTTTGATCATGAGTTAAAAGTAACTTAGAATTATTCCATCTTGTATGCTACTGCTGAAATGAAAACCGTCCCGGTATATGTTGAAAATTCAAATTCCAACAGATTTCTCTATTCGTTCACCCAAACGCTGCTATCGAGTGTGTACATCATACGGTAGACCAGGAGAAGTCTCACAACTGCAGGCATTCACTGAAGCCAAAGATTAGTTACTGTTGTGAATGTCATGTTCACTTTCCGTTAACAAGAGGACAGAAGCTATGGGTATTTTCCATCCATGTCTGACACCGGGCCCCCCAAAATAACAAATTCACCAAAAAAAAAAAAAGTAACAACAAAGACTGCTTTGTGCTTTCGGAACTTCCATTAGAGATATATGTACACACGGCATGTCGATAAAATGAAAACATTAAGCTCTTGGACAAAATAATGGTAAAGCACACCGTTAGGACAAACACAATCATGACGAACCTCCTTGATCATGTCCTGTGTTATGCACGTATGAATATGAAATCGGCAGTGACACTTCCTTTCAGGAATAGAAATGTTTCTGCGCCAAACAAAAATACATGTATACATAGAAAGAGAAACAAGAAGTGGCTTGTGGCAGGGAAATTATTAAATGAGACAAATGTCAAGTGAGGGTATCCTTACAGGATAGCTGTGATAGAATTGTTAGCACAAACCTCCAACTGCACCCTACCTTATGTGTCTCACTTAATTCACATTCTTTTATAGTTTTTGTTTCACTTCTTCAAAGAGTGTTTCACTGGCTTTTTGGTTTTCACGCTGATGAGTACATGTATATTATTCATGAGCAAAATTGAGACACTCTACAAAGTCTTTGTGCACAACAAGTTCTGCATGTTAAAAAAATTGTGTAGGCTTAAATTTGTTCTTTTTTTTCTGTGTTTCACCGTTGTGTAAACTTGTACTCAGCATTAGGCGAGAAATCAACCCTTTCTCAAACTTGTTTAAAAAACTTGAGTAAATTCTGGGTTTACTACTTGAACAGAAAGAATCCGGCATGCACTGATTCATGTTTCCCTGAATGACATCACGGCATAATGCAGGACCCTCAGTTATGCAGTAAAGCACGGACATTTTTTCAAAATGTAGACAGTGCACCCTTAAATTTACATTAAACCTAACAGAGGTGTCAAATAGTTTTCGTACAGTAAAATTCACTGCATCCGCACTTTCAGTTTCAAGATTGGGGAGGTGGGATTCCAGACTTGATCCTTGCCAAGCGAGCTGTGAATTACATAAATACACAGCAAGATTTACAAATTATGTCCACTTGGCCTAATGCAGCCAAACAGATTTTGCTCTCTGGAGAAAACTTTGCGAAGGATATCAAAGCTAAAAAATTCAAATCAATGACTGCTTTCTTTGAACAATCTATAACTTTCTCAAATTCAAAGGGACAAGCCTCCTTTTTTTTAACCAGGTAACTGAGAGAGATTCTTTTCATGTAGAAGCGAAGGACACACTTCATACGCATATGATATCCAACATATGCAAACCAGATGGTTTATATTTGTGTTATTATGGGAGTCCGCCTTTGAAAATAATCCTTTTTATTTCCACACATGTCTGAACTATCAAAATAAAGTTGGGCAGGAAGAAAGAGCACCGTTATGAATGCGTCGGGAGAAAAATTAGGGAGAATGGTAATAGCACATGTTCGCTATCCAGCAGGCAAATTTTGGTTTCTGTTTTGCTGGTTCTGTTGGGTTGCAAATGAAGGTACATGTAGATGCATTTGAGATTGCTTTTTAACAAGTCCCTTGGCATTTGGGGGCTCCATATATTTTCTGTAAAACTTGAAAGTCTGGCTTAATCTCAAACTCACTGCCATGCTATCCGTGAAGAAACCAAACATTTCAGATGATTCTTACATATGTATGGTTTCAACCACAGAACACAGTTTTCAAAGATCTGTTTCAGCTTGATAATACTTCTCCTGTTCAGGGAAACCACATACACTGACTGGAAAAAAGTACACAAGTGTTGGCCTTCTTATTAATTAATTTAGGTGAAAAGTTTAAAATCTCCAACACGTGACAAGATTAAAAAACTAAAATTAAAACCTAAACTTTAGAATAAAGTGGAAGGACGACACAGAAAACCAATGGCAAGTTGTCCACCAAAAATTGAACAGTCCTGAGTTATCAAAAGAAGTAAACAGTTGACAAATATTGGTTGAAACGTTCACAAGATTTGGCAAACTTCACAAATGTTTGCTTACTACTTTAAATGTGTATCACATGAATGCCAGGGGTCAGGTTTTAAATTAGATATTCCCAAATCACGACACATGCGGAAAGTATCAAACACGAGCCAGGAAGAAATGTGACGCCAGCGTTGATATGTACGTCAGACAACTTGTTTTGAGACCAGCGCACATTCTCTTTGTACTGTTCAGCTTACCAATCTTACACAGGAGCCCATACACACTGATGATGTTGCTTCAAGGGATAAGTGCACCCATACTCGTACCGAAATCTACCTTTTGGGCCATTAATATGTGCAGCAGTGCGACAAGTGCGCTAATGTTGACACGTCGGCAAGCTGCCAATGAAATCATGATAAATACAAATGGTCCAAACCCGCTCATCAGCCAAATCTGCATTTGATCTAGAGCAGGGAGGTACACGCAGGTATGTGTACATGCACACTTCTGTATACAACTGTACCAAGGGCTTAAAGGCAGTGTACATGATTTGCAAGATCTTGAAAGCGGGACTGTCAAATTATCTTGAAATGTCGTGCTGTAAAGTAAGTAAACACTAATGACAGTGTCAGGCAATCTGTAAAATCTTTCCGTCA